GTAGGTGCAGTTGCTTGCTCAGGAATGATCTCTTTCTGAGCGTTCAGCTTCTGACCTGCTGCAATACGCAGGTGACCATCTCGATCATGCAGGTCTCCATTCTCATCGGTTGTGAGAATAATAGGCGCTACCATGTCTCGCCGGTTAGTATCGATCGATGTAAGGTAAGGTGTATCGATCGATGTCAGATGATGGGTATCAGTCGACGAACGGTTTCTGATGTCGAGCGATGTGACGGTGAGAGTATCGATCGACGTTGAAGGTGTCTCGGTCGACTGTGGTAGGCAAGTATCGGTCAACAGAGATGTGTTGGTGTCGATCGATGCGGAGCGTAGGTCTTTGCGGATGCTACGTTCCAAACTGTGAGGGTCTTCTGAGTACACAAGTTGTTTGTTCTTATTGCTTCTAGTACTGCTAGGCATGTACCTGAAAAAGACTAGAAAAAAATTTTGGTGTCAGAAGATAAATAGACAATAAAAGAAAAATAACCTAGACCTAATCAGATTAAATCTAATGGCTATCAAATTTCCCCGGCAACGGCGCCTAATTTGATATCACTCAAATGTTTAACCCTAAGAAGTGAATTACTCTCTCAAATAAGAGGTTCAGTTGTAGTACTTAGGGATCGAATCCACAGGGAACTAAGGAACACAATAGATGTAATCCTAAGTGATTATGCTAGGTTGATTAAGTTGAAATAATAAATTGCAGTTTGTGAGCAATGGTAAGTTGCTCAAGAGAATAGGTTTTGGTTTAAAACAATAAAACAAAGTAGTTAGATTCAAGGCTGCTATTCAGATAATCAGGATTATAATGCTACAGATGTTTTAGTGAACTGCTTGCAAGATATATAAGAACTTCGATTCTTAGACAGATCTAATAGCAATCGCTAAATAGACTCATCCATTGATCTTACTGCCAGCAACATCGACCGATGTTTTGACAGCGATATCGGACGATAAGGGTTGATGTCGATCGATAACTCTATAGGAGTGTCGATCAATATAGCATAAGATCGAATCAAAACTGTGTTCACCAAGATCATAGACCGGCTCTCGCACATCCCTAGAGGATCTAAGCTTATGCCAAATGATTTCAGGATAATGATTAACAAGTTAAATCGCATCCATGATCATACTCTAGGTAGCTACTCTAGAGTAAGCATTAGGGTTCATTTGGATAATGAATATCAACAATTCAACATTCCATAGTTGGGGCTAATCCCTCATAACTATTTGAACCCTAAATCTAACAAAGGAATCTACTCAGACATAGCTAAGAGATTCATAACAGTAAGGTAGTAGTAGAAATTCATAAGATTAGAAGATTGAACTTTTGGTTCTTCGAACAAGAAATCTCTTTGTGTGTTTCTTCTAAATCTAGAATTCTATAACCTTTTAAGAATTAAGATGAAAAGAATACTTTATAAATCAAAGAACATAAAAAGCATGTAAATCTTTTGAAGTACAAAAAGCACTAGAACAATAAAAGCATGTCTAGCCAAAATACATAGGCAAAACTATAAATATGAGTTCCATTAGGTTAAAAACTCGTCAGGGGCATTACTGTAATATTGGGAAAACTTAGGCTTCAAGTCGGCCAAGTCGGACTTGTTCTCCACGCTTCATATCGATCGATGGTACATGGTGTACATCGATCGATGGAGTATCTCGACTTCATCTTCTATGGAAGCGTCATCGATTGATTACACAGGGTGTGTATCTATCGATATGTATCCTTGTTGTCTGATCTTCATAGTCATCTCGGAAAACACTCCTTTAAGCTCCAAAAGGGCACCTAAATCATCACTTTACTCGAAAATGCTCCTGAACCTGAAAACATACCTAATAGACTCCAAAACATATATAATACTTATAAAAAGACATCAATACCATGGCTAAAAGCGGGTCAAAATCATGATATATCAGGTTCTTATAGCTAAGATTTTCTTTCATTTATAGTTGATACTTTTTTTTTGTTAGCTTCATAAAAAGTTTTTTTGTATAAAAAGACATATTTAATTTCTTACATTTCTAAATTTCAGAACAAGTTTTTCATCAATTAGAAATGAATGTATAATGTTGTAGTAAATAATTGAGCGCCTACCTACATGTTTTAAACAGAGATAACCAAACACAATACCTAATTTTAACTGATTTCTTATAGCTTTTTGATTCTTGTTAACTAATTTTAACCACTTCGTTTATTGTCTTTTCAAAATTATTCGACATCATTTATTACAGAAGTATAAAATAAAATTTATTTTTAAAAAGTATTTTATTACATCTTTTACATTATTTCTTCTCTTCATAACTATTTCATGGATGAAGAAAACATGTTGAATCAATAGATAAATAAGAAAGGGTTCAGAGGATTCTTCTGTAAATCAAGAGAGATAATCTTCTCTCTTTACAAAGTAGCAAAATCACAATAATCCAAAAGCTCTAGAGTTATTTCTTTGTAAAAAATAGCCTAGAAAATAATAAAAAAAAGGGAAAAGAAGATATATGGAGGCTGCTACTGGCTGCAGAGGAAAAATAGAAAAACTAGATAAATCCCGAAATAGAATATTTGTTTTCCATAAATATTGGGAACATGTAGTTGGTTTGCTCTGTTCACTCGAGAACAACCGGTCAGGTTGCTCTGCTCGTGAAAACTTTCAAGTTAAGTTTTTTCACCTATTTTGTTCTAACTGGTCCATTTCTCATCCCGTGCACTCCAGACTTGTAATGATTTGAAAAAGAACTAGAAAAACTCGATGAAAATTCAAAAAACTTTAGAAAACATTGTTATAATGTGCCAAAAACAAAACATTTCATTAACAACATTCTATTTTCTAAGCCATAATGCACTAAAAATAGATTTATTCTATAAACAGAATAATATATTTTTTGTTTGTTCATTAATTTATTTTTCACCCTCAAATAGAATTGGATTAGAACAAAGTTCAACTCTACCATGGAGTTAATTCATTTTTGAGGAGGAAAAAAACATTTGGAGATGCTTTTAAAAGTTTCATCTATTGTAAAAAATACACAGACAGTTGGACGACTGAGTCATTTTTTTATTTTATATTACGTTTGACATTGTACTACATATGGCTTTTATTTTATCTTTATCTTTTAATTAGTGTAATGCGGTAAAACACGAAAAACCTTAGCGCCCTCTCTGCAACCTCGACGGCCCTATCATCACCGCAAGGGAGACTACGACATTCCTTGTGGTGACCTGCACTGATCCGCAAACCGTCATCAATCAGTGTTGCGTCTCTGGCAAGTAATGAAAGGATCCTGATCTGCTCTTTGGCTAATACGCTCGTCGGTGTATTGTTAAACCCAAGGGATCTTTGTTCCTTGGTTTCTAGACAGGATCCCGACGATCCGGTTTCGTTTCAGCATCACAAGGGATCATTGTTCCTTCTGTACCTCGGTAACGATCTGTACACACTCTGCTTTTAATCCTTTGAAGGGAAGACACTTTAAACCAATACATTCTTTGATGTATTGACAATATCAGAAACTTTTGATGATATACTGAGACTTTCAAGTGTATCACTCTCTTATTCCGAAGATCAGGTATCAGTGGATTTACGTCTGGATACCGTAACGGCCTGCTATCACTTGATCGCAAAGGACTTGTGATTCTCTGCCCGATATCATTATATGGGATCGTTTAATCGCTCTAAGTCTGTTCATATGACAGATCTAAAAGGCAAAGAGGTTCTATATGAGGATGATGATGAGCCTATAAAACTCACTGAACAAGATGATGCCTTTGTGATTAAAGAGTATCGTATGTCTCTCATTGGCAAGATTCTAAATTCCAAAACGAAAAATATGGAGAAGTTATTGCAGACGATGCCTGCGCAATGGGGAATCCATGATAAAATTACTGCAAATGACTTGGGGAATGGCAAGTTTCTACTCAACTTTCCTAACGAGGAGGATCTCAACTCTGTCTTATGCTTGGGTCCTTTCCATTATAATTTCTGCATGTTTGTATTGGTAAGTCGGGAACCAATAGTGCACGATGATTACCCTTGGATTATACCATTCTGGGTTCAATTGATTGGTATGCCCCTCCACCTATGGACCGATCGGAACTTACGAGATATAGGAGGGCGCTTGGGCTTTGTGGATACAATAGAGCTCAGCGAGGGTCGAATGCTTATACACATTGACTCTAGGAGGCCACTGAAGTTCAAAAGGAAGGTTCACAGCCCCGAGGGTGAGGAAGTAACTATTGAGTTTGTGTACGACGAATTGTTCAAACATTGTACGATTTGTGGAATGATGTCTCATGAGAAGGGGTATTGCCCAACTACATCTTTTGTCACGCGGCCTGAACCAGCGAGAGGTGGCGTATTTGTGCGAGTTCAGCCCTCTCACTTGAGAGATCACCGCGGAGATGAAGGTCGCAATGGGAATACGGACCATCGTGGTCCTTTAGACCCGTCCCGTCTTGGAGATCAAAGGTCAAGAGGAGACATTACGCGAGGTCAGTACTCTTCAGGGTCAAGAGGGGATTATCTTAAGGATTCCCCCTATTTGGAAATTGATGAACGTCGTGGACATAAGCACACTGATCGTATAATTAGAGACAGATATGTCAAACCACGTGAGGATCGATCTCGTGTCTCTCGCTTTGCCAACGGGCTGTATGATCGAAGGCGCAACAAGTATTGGAGAGAGAAGAAATCAGATAGGTCAAGGGAGCATCACAAGCATCCAGTGAATGTGGTTCGAGAAAACGCTGAAGGTTTAGCTCCTTATGAACAAACCATAAACTCTACGGCCAGGCTTGACACTGAGGATCAAAAGCACCAGCAAGATGTGGAGATTAATACTATCTCGGATCGTCCACATAGAAGAGTAGCTAGCGTAGTTGTTTCACCGGTGATACAGCAGGTAATAATGGAAGACAATGTCAAGATAGGCACTAAGGCTGTGGCTCGTTCGCTTAACTTTGAGCATAATGAGGTGGTGGGCGAAAATGAGCAGGTTATTGGAGCACTTATGGATATGGAAGCTAATGAGAAGAATGAAGAAGATTTCACTAATTCTAATGCTTGTGACGATGTTGATGATGTGGATGATGATGACCTCTTGGAAGAGGAGTTAAGGGATTTGCAAAATGCTCCACTTGCCGGCTCGGAGGCTGGGATATCGAAGAGTAAGCCGATTACCAAGAGGCACATAAGCTCAAGGAATGGACACCGTAGGACTGCCCACTTGGGTAGTGAAGTTACAAAGTCAAAATTCCTCCGTTGAGGCTCCCCGCGTCTGATGTCAGCTAGATCTTCGTCTCATAAGCTCAATGGTGAGAAGGAGAAGACACGCAACTATCATAACAATTCAAAGAAAACAAAAGGAAACACAGGTAAAGATGGTGGTTTGATGGGATCCAATAACCCATCCAAAAATCATCAATGAAGACAATCAGTTGGAACTGTCGAGGGATAGAAAGCAACCTCACAGTTCGACGCCTTACGGAGATGTGTAAGAAGCATCGCCTAGGACTTGTGTTTCTCTCTGAGACGAAGAAAAGGAGGCTGTTGTTGCAAGACATTCAAGCCGATTTAGGATTTGATCGTTTGTTTACCGTTGAGCCACTTGGCCTTAGCGGAGGTTTAGCTTTATTTTTCATGGATGAATTTCAAGTTAATGTTTTATTTTTAGATAACAGAATGATTGACATTGAGGCAGTCATTGATGGAATAAGTCTATATGACATTTGTTTATGGGGATCATGTACTAGAGCGTAGAGATTTAGTCTGGGAACGTCTTACGCGTTTCTCAACAACAAGAAATGGACCTTGGTTTATGATAGGTGATTTTAATGAAATAACATGTCATGAGGAGAAGGAAGGAGGTAGACGACGCACTGACGGTTAATTTTTACCCTTCAAACAAATGCTGAGTGATTGTGGTATGCTGGAGTTCTCCTTTACAAGAAACATGGTTTCCTGGGTGGGAAATAGAGTAGGGAGGAATACGGTTAGATGCCGTCTTGATAGAGCTGTTGGAAATGAGGAATGACATGAGCAGTTCCCTCATTCAAAAGTCCAGTATATGAGACTATGGGGATCGGATCATCGTCCGATCCTGGTAGATATCCTTAAAAAGAAACCACGAAGATCAAAAAATTTAAATTTGATAAGAGATGGCTTGATAATGAGGAGCTCAGACAAGTCATATTAGAGGGATGGAAATCTTCGGGTCTTGCACCAGATGCAAGTATTATGGAGCACATTGTAAGTTGCCGGCGAGCCTTATCTGACTGGAAAAGACAACATAATTTGAATTCGGAAAAGAGTGTGGAGGAGTTGAAAGAAAAAATGGATCAATTATCTTCAAATGAAGATGCCACTACAGAGGAGAATGCGGCAGCTATAAAGGAACTGTCTGACGCTCTTAAGGCGGAGGAGATGTTGTGGAAGCAAAAGTGTAGGGTGTTTTGGCTAAGAGAGGGAGATAGAAATACCAAATTCTTTCACGCACTCACAAAGCAGAGAATAGCAAGGAATAGGATCACACAATTACTAGATGAGGATGGGAATGTGGTAGAAGATGAGGAAGGATTGGTAGCCATTGCTACAAATTACTTTAGACACATTTTCCAATCATCAAACCCTGAGGATATAGAGGAAGAATTATCTGAGGTGTCTACAACCAATACGCTAGCAGATAATGAGAATCTCACAGCCCCGGTCACTGAACGGGAGGTCAAACTAGCTCTTTTTGCAATGCATCCAAAGAAAGCTCCAGAACCGGATGGAATGACTGTGCTTTTCTACCAGAAATTTTGGAATATTGTAAAGGATGATTTGACTCTCATGGTTAATCAGTTCATGTTTGAAGGTACAATACCTATTGGTCTAAATGATACCAATATATGTCTCATTCCGAAAGTAGATAAGCCGAATCAAATGTCTCAGATACGGCCATCAGCCTATGCAATGTTTGCTACAAGATAATCTCTAAGGTCCTATGCCAGAGGTTAAAGAAGATTTTACCTGACCGGATTTGTGAAACCCAGTTTGCCTTTGTTGCTGGGAGACAGATATCTGACAACATTAAGATTACTCAGGAGTTGTTTCATGCTCTACGGACCAAACCAAGTGGACGTAATAAGAGGATGGCCATTAAAACGGACATGAGTAAAGCGTATGATCAAATAGAGTGGTCCTTCATCGAGGCTACCATGAGAAAGATGGGTTTTTCGGAAATTTGGATAACCTGGATAATGCGATGTGTAACATCAGTAAAGTATAAGGTCCTTATGTATGGCCAACCAAGAGGGAATATTATTCCGGAGAGAGGTCTAAGGCAGGGGGATCCCCTGTCTCCTTTCATTTTTATTCTATGCACGGAAGCGCTCGTTAGCCTTCTAAATCACGCAGAGAATCTAGGAAAGATAACGGGGATGCGCATCACGCGTGTGTGTCTTTCGGTATCTCACTTTCTCTTTTCTGATGATATCATGTTCTTTTGCAAGGCGGAGCCCCGTGAATGTGAAGAAGTTATGAAAGTGGTCAGAAAATATGGACAAGCTTCAGGACAATGTATCAATTTTAACAAATCATCTCTACTCTTTGGTAAGAGAATTGGACAGGATGTGAGGCAAGAGATTAAAGACACACTTGGGATTCAAAACGAAGGAGGAATGGGCAATTACTTAAGAATCCCATAGGATATCAGTGGATCCAAATGCAAGCTCTTTTCCTTCTTAAAGGAGAAGCTGAGGAATAGAGTAAATGGATGGACGGGTAGATGGTTATCAAAAGGTGGGAAGGAAGTTATGATTAAGTCAATTCCCCTAGCACTTCCAACCTATGTAATGTCTTGCTTTTTACTTTCGCTGGAGATCTGTAATGCCTTAGCTAGTGCCATTGCACAGTTCTGGTGGAGTTCGAACCCACCAAAAAAAGGCATACATTGGTCAACATGGGATAAACTATGCTTATCTAGAGAGGAAGGAGAGATTGGTTTTAGAATGATTCATGAGTTCAATCTGGCGCTGTTAGCTAAGCAGTTATGGAGAATGGTTCAATACCCAGATTCTTTGGTAGCCCGAGTTATGAGAGGCCGGTGTTATCGACTGAGTACGCCTTTGCGTCAGCTCACTGTAAGTAGCCCATCGTATGTGTGGACTAGTATATCGGCGGCACGGGAATTACTGTTGATGGGTGTTAGACAAAAAATATATTCAGGATATGATGTGAAAGTATGGGAGGATCCATGGATCCCTACCATTCCTGCGAGATCAACAATACCATCTGCACCGGTTTTACACCCAAACATAAGAGTGGGCGACCTTATTAATCAAGAAACAAAGGCTTGAGATTTGAGACGGTTAGCGGATTACGTGGAAGCTGCTAATATTCCACTCATAAGGAGTATGGCTATTAGTTCTACACATCGTAGGGACTCGTACTGTTGGAGTTATACGAGGAATGGACACTACACAGTTAAATCTGGCTATTGGATTGCACGGAATATACTGATGAAGGAGGAGGAAGGCATAGTGGGAGAACCTAGGATCACAAAACTCCAAGCACATGCTTGGAAGGTTAAGGCACCCCAAAACATATGCCATTTTATGTGGCAAATAATAACAGATCATATGGCTGTCACAAGCACTTTAAACTATAGACATTTGATATGTGATAACCATTGTCCCCGATGCGGAGAACCAGAAGAAACAGTTACACATGCGATCTTTCAGTGCCCACCTGCAATGCAAGTTTGGGAATTATCATCTACTCTTACCAATCCAACCCTTTTCCCACTACAGAGCACATATACGAATATGGATTATCTCTTCTGGAGAAAAAGTGCGATAATAGAACCGGAATTGGACAGGGATCCTTATCCTTGGCTAATATGGTATATTTGGAAAGATCAAAACGACAAACTGTTCAGAGGAATCGATAGAGATCTTTAGGAACTAGCCCGCTATGCGCAGAGCGAGTGTCAAGCCTGGTTCCAAGCTAATGAATAGGATATAGCGCCATCTCAAGGAATCATAGGTGTTGAAAGCCAGGCCTTAAGAATGGGTGATATTTGTATGGTAGACGGTTCTTGGACCTCTACAGATCGTTTTAGTGGTTGTGGTTGGGTTTGGAATGACAGTATGGGAAATAGTCAGTTAATGGGTATTCGCAATTTTAGCAGGGTGAGTCAGCTTTACATTCGGAGCTGGAAGCACTGCGATGGACATTAGTGGAGAACATGCTTCAACATTCGCCATGTCAGAGCTTTGGGACGGATTGTAAGGAGATGATAGCAATGCTTATAAATCCCCATGACTGGCCAAGCTCCTCTAAAGAGTTGGAAAAGCTCATGACTATGCGGATTTGCTTCCCCGACTTCAAGATCTTCTATGTGCCTAGGACACAGAATGCTATTTCTGATTCTCTAGCAAAAATTGCTCGATCCTTTTATCGAAAACTTTTGTATGTTGGTTGTTTTATTTCTGTCTGACCTCATGCTTGAGTAATAGATCAGCCTTTTGATGTCAAAAAAAAAAATTAGTGTAATATTGTTTCAAAAATAAAGTGTTATGCTATAAGATAAACCACTGTTACAATTATTTTAAGTAAAACATTTTGTGAATAATATGACATGGAAAATTGAGTCTGCAGTCAATATTTTATAAAAGGAAAATGATAAAATGTGAATTAAAATATTAAATATAACAAGAATATCATTGTAAACTTATTATCATTCATTTTGCAGAAAAATATTAATTCAACAAACATAACAATCTGATCGTAAATTAACTTACTAATAATACCTATAAAACGTTACTGTTAAAATTAAAACATGTGTTATCTTTCATTAATTCACAGACACGCAATTTTAAAATATTATGAATTAATTATGGTGATATACCCACAACCCACCTATACTGGGTCAGGCAATTTGTTTGGCAGTATTTGGTACTATAATATATAGCTCTTTAATTGGTTGGAAAACAATGGGTCAATAACCCCACCATTAGTTATGAAGTTGATCATCTCAATTTGATGAATACTGACGCGCTAATGTGTTGTAATTATGAGCATCAGAACTTAAATAAACTCTCTCTCTTGAAATGATTTCAACGATATGGAGTTTGCTTGGTTGGCCAAGTACACTAACTCACACTTTACCCAACTTTTTAAAAACTTTGCTAGCTTTTGGAATATTGTCTAAAGATTTGAAACCGCTTCTACGGGGTTTCAATTAGAAACTGGACAATCATGACTATCATCCTAGCTTTAGAA